ATTTTTTTAGGATAAATTAATGTAAAAATAAAATCATGATAATCACTTAATGTTATTAAAGACAAGAATAAAGTTGAAACCAATTAAATAAATACTAATTAAAAATTGTGGTAAAAAATAAAAAAATAAAAAAAGATAAATTTATCAATAAAATTTAAAAATTCTAATTCACTAGCAGTTTAGTACAAAAAACAACCTTAAATAGTTTTTTCAATCCACTAGCGATTTAAATCCTAACTATCACTCATTAGTTTCAAACTACTAAATAAAAAATTTTATCAAACACTTGATTTGTAATTGTTTTGAAATGAATAAGTTTTCCAAACATCTCATTTATAGTGGTTTCAAAATAAATAAATTTATTAGACACCTATTTTTAACAATTTAAACAAAATTATTAACTGTTACTCCTAAACTGCAAATCATTATTTTCAAACTATTATACAAAATAAATTCTTAGTATATATTTACTTTATTATTAAAAATTACTCCAAAATACTATATAACTAGCGTGTATTCTTCCCAGCACATATATTCATATATACATAAATAATTTGGGTGTTAATACGAATTATTAAAAATAAATCTAATGGTACTGATATACTTTTCGAGAGGTTTAAAGGGCAAAAGAAAATTGTTCCTACAAAAATTATAGTGTTTTAAATGCCTATTGGAAAATGGGCAACGGCTTTTAGAACAATATCTTGATACGTTTTGCTATTTTTGTTGAAGAGAGACCTTAATGAATTTGGCAAATTTAAAGATCATTGATTTTTATTTTTATTTTTTGCTATAGATACGAATTTTATAATTTTTATATTTATGCCAAATAGAATCTTATTAGTCTAGAACCTTGTAGATATTATTTACTTGATATGTAGATATTATTTACTTGATATGCAACTTGTCATATGTAGTTGAATATGAATTTGAATGCCTATGGCATAATTTGATCTTTAAATTAATGAATGGAATTGAAGTGTATGCAAACAAATAGATGAACTAATATATAATTGAAATTATTTAAAAAGAAAAAAGATAGTGATGAAAAAATAACAAAGAATGATGTTACTACAAAGAACTCGTAAAATGAAAAAATTGACTAATAGTTGAAACAAAGCTTGCATGTTAAAGGGAGAAGAGGTGAGGTTAGCACCAAGGTCACTTGTGCATGTTTATATATTTTAATTTTGATAGGCATTTTTATCAATAAAATAATTAAAAACTCATCTATTGTTTTTATGTAAAAAAAACTACAAAAGGTGTCTTAAGAGAAGCTAGGGAAGGAGTATGATAAATTTTTTAATCAATTAAATTATGAATTTTTTTTGTTAATGTTGTGTTTTATTATGTTGTAGTTATAAATTTTTTTGTCTTTTATTATTTTAAAAATATATAAAATATTAATTAAAATTAATGATAATATATAAAACATACTCAAAATAATACATTTATATTTTTAAATAAGATACCATCTAAAAAAAAGTCTGAAAAAAAAAGGGATCAAAAGAGAGCCTACAACTTTGGACAATATTTCAGTTAGAATAATGGCGAAATAGTTATACCATTACTACCAACTAGCATTTCCCAAAGTGCTTTTGGGTTATTGGGATGTATTTAAGTTTTAAATGAAGAAAAATAATACCTAAAAATTTATTATTAGAAGTAAATAATAAATATTAAAATAATATTTTGTTCTTAATAAATTGCATTGAATGATGATTATATCATTAAGTAGTTTACTAATTGTCTATTTGATCTCTAAATAAATTATTTTCTTTATTGTTGTAATAAAATAAGAAATAAAAAGAGAGAAAAAAATGAAACCGTTCACCCTATTGAAAAAACGTCTCATAGAATTCCAAATCCTATTGTTAAGGCCATGTTTTCTAGTAGTTAAGTGAAAATTAGTGGTATTCCGAAAATGTCAAACTATTGTTTTAATAATCAAATTGGACTAGTCGGTTGTTTTAATAATCAAATTGGACTAGTCAGTTGAACTAGTATCCTGTAACATAAACAGGTCAGTGGGTATTTAAAACCAATAAGGAGGTTAAATCATTTAAAATTAATAAAACCATTTAAACCAATACAAACTATTAAATCATTTAACTGAATGATTTAAAGCTTATCAGGTCAAGTAGGTATCTAAAACCAATAAAAGGCTAAATTGTTCAAAACCGACAGAATCATTCAAACTAATACAAATCATTAAACTAGACAATTTAAAGTTTTTAGTGAAAATTTCACAAAATTTGCCACCTCCTGGGCTCGAACACACAACCTTAAGGAAGTTTTAAACAACTTTTGCCATTAGAGCATCACACTTGAAATGGTTTGTTTAAAATTTTATTTATTTTATTTTTAAAAATAAAAAAAATTAAAAATGTCATTAAAGGAATTGCCTTTTTTCTTCCCTTGATAAGGGATGAAGGCTTCCTCCACCTGATGTGTGGAGAGCACTGTTTGTTAACTTTTGTGTTAAAATTAATATATTATAGATTAGAAGTATAATAATATAAATTTTGATATCAAGTGAATACAAATATGTTATCTTTATGATAGTAAATAACACTACCAACCATAGAACCACTACAACTTATTGAGATATGCTACATAATATTATATCTATTTATATTTAATTGAACCAATAGTTTAAATAAACTAACTAATTAAACTAACCAAATCAAAAACCAAAAATCAAAATGATTTGACTTCTAGTTTAGTTGTCAAAACACTGACCAAAAACTAACCATCTACACAAAACCCAATTTCAAAAGTATAATATATATATATATATATATATTTGGTTATAAGCAATCACTTCCTTAAATTTAAAGTAGAAAAAGAAAAAAAAAAGACCATGAAAAAGGAAAAGAAAAGAAAGAATAGAAAAAGATCATAGCTCTCAGTGATGATGAGTGAATTAAAATCATGCATGTGAAAAGAATAACTATTAAAGAATAAGAACATATAAAACAGTCAATAAAACTATTAAGAGGAAATCGATAAGGATTCAATTTACTTATTTGTTTAATTTTGTTTCAATAGGGATTCCATTTGATCAAAATGGAATTACAATAAGTAAATCCTAAAAATATATTAATATTAAAAATGATAGAAATATAGTAAGAATAATCATTTTCAAAACTTCCTATACAGATGGCGTTCAAAACAACACAAAATTTGTAAAATCTCTCAAAATCAAAGAAATCTTTTCTTTTCACATGGGTGTATTATTTGTCACTTACAACATTACGTCTTAAAGTCAAAAAAATTTCTTCTCTTCTTACAAAGGTAAAAAATACACCCATCTATAGAACATTTGTAAGGTATAAAATTACCTCTTCAAATTTAAAAAATTTCTTTTCTTCTTATATTAATTGCAAAATAATTTTTGAATAACTATCCATCTACAGAAAATGAGTTCTTTTCTACTTATATAAATATGTCTCTTCTCATTATTAAAAAATAAGGTGAGAGAAAGAAAGAGGGAACCAGTAATGAGAAAGATAGGAAGGAGTAGGAATTCAAAATTCGTATATTTAGATAGAGCAATAATAGGAAAGATAAAATTTTGAGATGAAAATTTAAAATTAATTATATGGTATAAGTTATGTTATTAAATTAATTAATGTATAAAATATCACAAGTTTCAAAAAATAAAAAAATTAATTATTAAATAATAAAAAATTTATCTTTTAATATTTTAAATAATATGATTAATACCACATTATTAATTCTAAATTTTAATTTTATTTAGATACCGTACATAGATCATGCGAACCGTAACGACGCCAAAAAAATGATATTTTTTACTCTACGCAAGCCCGATTCATTAGTACCAAACGAATAAAAAAAAATAAAAAGGACCCGATTCAACCGGTCCGGTTCAAATCAACGGAAAAGCGAGTAGCCGAGCCGAAAACCACCATTCACCTTGAACACAAACCCTACCAAAACCCTGGAGGACCTTCTATGCCTCCCTGCTTTCGCCTTCTTTCTATGGGTGGGGGGATTTTCTTGCTCTTCAAGCCAGTCCTCTCTATTTAAACCCAATTCATCATTTTGATTCTAGAACTAAAACCCTAGTCTGTAACCCATTTTTTCGCTTTCAATCAAAATGGCAAAAACATATGCAATCGGTATAATCTCAGCGGCCCTAGCAGCCTCTTCCGTCTCTCAATCCAAACTCGCTTTAGCTGATGGACCTTTCAACTTCTCTCCCTTCGCTACTTCTTCTCAACCTTCTTCTGGGCAGTCGCAATCTTCGAACTCGCTGCCATCCACTGCATCGGCTGATAAAGGGTCTTCTGTTTCTGTTAAGGCTAGGAACGATAATCCTAGGACGACGTCGGCCGGATTTGACCCAGAGCCACTGGAGAGGGGGGCCAAAGCTGCGGATGAGATCAACAGATCTGGTCAGGCCAAAAAGGTT